TCACCATGAACTACGATTGGTTTAAAGACACCGATGGAAATGTGGATTAAAAATCCAGGAAATTATTCTTCACTACATGTGTTTGGTTGTCCTGTGGACGTGATGTACAACTCTCAAGAAATAACCAAACTGGATCCTAAATCCAGAAAATGCATATTTTTGGGCTATGTTAACGATGTTAAGGGGTATTGTCTGTGGGATCCCACTGCCCACAAGATTATTGTCAGCAGGGATGTAATATTTGTAGAAAATGAACTGCAAAGTGAGCAGGAAAATGACGACACACCTAAAGATGTTACTACTATTCATATAGATGGAAAGTCTGAAGAAGAAGATTCTTTTGAAGCAGAACTGGAACCAGATCATGAGGTACAAGAACCAGAAGAAGTCGATGATGTTCAACCTAGAAGAATATCACGCCAGATAAGGAAACCATCATGGCAATAAAAGTATGTGATGACTAGTCATGATGCATATTGTCTTCTATCAGAAGATGGAGAACCATCAACCTTTCATGAGGCGCTAAATGGTTCAGATACTTCTCTGTGGATGGTATCAATGCAGGAGGAGATTGAAGCCTTACATAGAAACAACACTTGGGATCTTGTTGAACTTCCCAAAGGTCGGAAAGCCATTGGAAACAAATGGGTGTTCAAAATTAAACGAGATGGCAATGATCAAGTGGAACGATATCGTGCAAGACTGGTGGTCAAAGGATATGCTCAAAAAGAAGACATTGATTTCAATGAGATATTCTCTCTAGTGGTAAGACTTACTACTATCAGAGTAGTTCTTGCAATGTGTGCCGCATTTGATTTACATATTGAGCAGTTAGGTGTGAAGACTATATTTCTTCATGGAGAACTTGAAGAGGAAATATATATGCTCCAACCAGAAGGGTTTGAAGAAAAAGAAAAAGAAAACTTGGTTTGCAGGTTGACCAAATTTCTGTATGGTTTAAAGCAGGCGCCTAGGTGTTGGTACAAGAGATTTGATTCCTTCATCATGAGCCTTAGATACAACAGACTGAGTTCAGATTATTGTACGTATTACAAAAGGTTAGATAATGATGATTTCATTATTTTGTTGTTGTATATGGGCGACATGTTGGTGGTAGACCCCAATAAAGATCGAATCCAAGAATTGAAGGCACAATTGGCTAGTGAGTTTGATATGAAGGATTTGGGACCCGCAAACCATATTTTAGGGATGCAAATTCACCGAGACAGAAAAGATGGGAAGATTTGGCTCTCTTAGAAGAATTATCTTCGAAAAGTCTTGAGGCGCTTAAACATGCAAGACTGTAAGTCAATCTCTACCTCACTTCTTATCAATTTCCAGTTATCCTCAAGTACGTGTCCTAACAGTGAAGCGGGGAGGAAGGAGATGTCTCGAGTACCGTATGCATCAACAATGGGAAGTCTTATGAATGTTATGATTTGTATTAGACCAGACATTGCTCAAGCAGTTGGGACGATCAGTCGGTTCATGGCAGATTCAGGTAGAGAGCATTGGAATATTGTGAAGAGGATCCTGAGATATGTTAAAGGGACCTCAGATATTGCATTATGTTTTGGAGGATCAAAGTTTGTTGTAAAAGGATACGTTGATTCAGACTATGCAGGTGATCTTGACAAAAGAAAATTTACTACCGGCTATGTGTTTACACTAGCAGGAAGAGCGGTAAGTTGGTTATCTAAGCTACAAACAGGCGTAGCTTTATCTACCATAGAAGCAGAATATATGGCAGCTACCCAAGCATACAAGGAAGATATCTGGATTCAAAGGTTATTGGAAGAACTCGGGCACAAGCAACATAAGATTATTGTGTATCGTGACAGTCATAGTGCCTTGCATATTGCAATAAATCCAGCCTTTCATTCCAGGACTAAACACACAGGAGTATAATATCATTTTGTTCGAGAAGTAGTAGAGGAAGGGAGTGTGGATATGCAGAAGATTCACACTAAAGATAATTTAGCAGATGTTATGGCAAAACCGATCAACGCTGACAAGTTTATTTGGTGCAGAAACTCTTATGGCCTATCAAAAACGTAGCAACATTGAAATTGATATAGTTGGGAAATTTTGAAAGCAAATAAGTAAGGCTTTAAGTGATAGATTATCGTAAATTAAAGTCATATTTAATTTATTATGTAAAGTCAATTATATGTAGTTGAGAGAAAGTTTCAAAGTTATAGAAATTTGATGGTTAGGAGAAAATTAAGTTAGCTATTCATAGCACAACAATTAATATAAATTGTTGCTACATTGTAATTTTTTTTAATCATCCAAAAATTTAATAGACAATTGTTTCTCCTTAGTTATGTATTTTTATCTCTTATTTTAGTTGTCTTAATATTATTTTGTTATTTTGATACCCAACATTTGGAAGGCCAAACACGCGAAGATTTTTTAAAACACCTTTGCTGTTGAGGAAACCAAGCTCCTCTCTTGGAAATGGCTGAGAGTTAAGACTAAGTGTTTTAACTATAGCATTGCTCAATGGTTATTGTCTCCGATCGAGTTGTCAGTTGTGGCGTTCGTGCGGCCTGTCTGTTCAGTTGGGAGTGGTCAACTTGCTGGCCTGACAATTCATCCAGTTTGGAGTTGTTTTTTGGTTGCGTCTCTATAACTTCGGTCGTGTAATAGGCGGTTGCTGGAATTTCCCTTTTGTGGTACTGCATTAGCGCTTTGGAAATATCCATTTGGAGCAAGTTGGGTTAAAATCGTTATGGGTGTTAGAGACTGAATTTGATTGTTGTCTGTTTATTGTTTCAATGTTTTCTCGAAGTTTATTGTTTGTGGAGCATTTATGCAGAACAGTTTGTAATCTATCTATGGCATTCCTTATGCCTTTTTATATTAATAGCATCTTTTGCCTTTTCAAAAAAGAAAAAAGCAACATGTATTGCCATTGTTGGAGGATCACTCCTTGCTAATGAATGTTTTGCATTTTAATCTGATATTTAATTTAACTCACTTTATTTCTTTTCATCAGGTTGGCTACTTGGGTGGAGGGTTGTTTCTAATTTTTGCAGTAGCCACCTTTTTTCGGGTTTTCTGATTCTGCAAAACCCTACTCTTTTTGTGTAATATATCACTTGTGGAAGTAATAAGGATACATACTCAAATGCAGAACCAATGATGACAGAACAAGGAAAAAAACATAAAGTTTGTTGATTTGCTTTAGTAAACATTAGGAGCCTATTATTCACATGGATAGATAATAAGAAGCATGATATCTGCCATTAGAGTTACACTTCGAGTAGAATGTTGTGTAATTGTCTCTCGTGAGACTAGCTTTTGTAATGTGTGTTGTATTAATAAAAACTACATTGAAGGATTCAACCATTTTGTTAAGTAAAGAAAACTTGCATTTTCTCAAACATTTTTTACTAATTAATTTAATCTTTTTTCAATTAAGTTCTTATAAAAATTCCTTACATCAACCATGTTTTATGGTCAATGAAAATTTTAACTGGTTAGCTAAATTCTTGAACCAATCATTAGAGAAATCTTTGTGAGATATAACATTACTATATTTATAAATTTTAGATGATCGATAGCAATATGTACCAATAATTAGAGAGATATAACATTACTATATTTATAAATTTTAGATGATTGATAGTAATATGTACCAATAATTAGACATAAATGCGTTAATAAAATTTATTCTGCATATCATTATAAACACAATATTTATTTAAATTATTTTATTTTAATCAATTTTTATTTTATTTGAGAAACAATTTTTTATTTATAAAAAATCATTTTTTTATCTCATTATTTCACAGATCATTTTTTTCATTTATATAATTATTTAATATAATTAAATTTATATTATAATTATTTATTATATAATTAAATAATTTATTTTAAATTTATATATTTATTTAAATATATTTTATAACATATCAAATTAATTTATCTGTGCTCTCGTACAAATTTCTTATTGGTTATATATATATATATATATATATATATATATATATATATATATATATATATATATATATATATATATATATATATATATATATATATATATATCGCTAAATTGAGGTATAATTTTTCGAATTTTTTACTGTCTTGCTATCTTTTTACACAAAAAAATTCGACTATACCATCATCTTTAATCAATATTTTCATATTACCATATTTTCAAACAAATTTTATTTTTGTCACAAAATATTTGTCAGGTGAATGGATGAAGTTGTTGAAAATATTTGACATCCGCGAAAACAATGGACGGAAGTGTTATAACTTTTAGAGGCTCAGTCCATCAAATAGACGGAAGAGGATTAACGTGAAACTGTATAATTTAATATTATATTAAAAAAAACGACATTATAACAACTCCGTCAGTCTAATGGACGAAAATTATATAATTTAGAGAATATCCACCGATCTAATAAACGGGATCTCTTACTTCAATTTTTTTTATTTAAAAACATAATATATTAAAAATATATTTTGAAATGTATAATAATATATGAGTTTATTGGTAAAAAGTAATATATAGGTTAAAAAAATTTAATTTGTCCCAATCCTGTTAAACTTGTGGTCCAACTCTTTTATATTATTTATTTATAAATAAAAAAATAGAACATGGTATTGCTAAAACAAAAATTAGAAGTTGCTGATATTGGAGCTTTATTTGCCCCGTGGACCCGCGATCAATTCATATTTTCTTTCTTTCTCCCCCAAAATATAATAAATATTTCTATCCTCTTTCGGATAAGCCTCCTTCAACTTGCACCATGTTTTCAAATATATTTTATTTAACAGCATTCTTTTCTTTTCTTCTTTTTCCTTATTTTTTTCTTCCATGTTTCACACCACCCAAAACCCACACAATTCTCTTTCCATTTCTTAGCATATCCAACTCCATCCATGCCTTCTCCACCGCAACACCAAAAATCAAAAACAATTTCATTTTTTGTCCTTAATTAGTCATCATTATCTTGTAATTTTGTCTTGCAGTGCAAAAGGTTATGTCTATAATAGCATCATATTCACATTTTGTATACAAAAAACTTCACCATAGAGATGAACACTGTATTTCCTCTTTTGTAAGTGGCAAAGATTCTTTGTTTTGGCGCAAGAGTTGTTTCGGGAACATATTGATTGAAAACAGAAACAAAGAACAAAAGATTAGAAGAAGAAATTTTCGTGTGGAATCTATGTGGCCAGATTTGTCTAGACCAAGTACGATTGAAATGGATGCTATTAATGATTCTGAACAGCTTGATCAAATTCTTGTTCATGCTCAACAAAACTCTGAGCCTGTTGTTATTGATTGGTATTTCTCTTTTTCTATCTTGTATAATTTTTTTTAGATAATTTAATTATCTTGCTCTTGCATAATTTTTATTATATGGTCTCAGTTAATATTTTAAATATGAGGTAAGGTGATGTAGTTTTTTTTAAGAAGAAACGGTAATAGCTATTAGAACTCACACAACTATTATCCGAGTATTAGGATTCGAACTCTGATAACAATGTTCAATTTAATAATATCGAGTTGTGTCTGTTAAACTACTGTTTGCGGACATCATTTTTATTCTATTTTATCCTTGGATTGGATCTAAGTTGTTTGTTAAAATATGAGTGACTGTAGCTAGATATTTTTAGGATATTTTGTGGTGTTTTGGGTTTTTGGGAATTCAAATGTTTAAAATTTGGTAGATATTACCCACACCCACACATAAATTTGAATTGGACTAAATACATATCTTTTTTTCAATAAACTCTGCAAATTTTCAAATATTATATTTTCATTTGTAATTTTGAACTGCTTGTTAATTTGATTACTTGTTTTATTTTGTGAATATAGGATGGCTGCTTGGTGCCGGAAGTGCATATATTTGAAGCCCAAGTTGGAAAAATTAGCAGCCGAATTTGACACTAAGTAAAAAAACTACTCACTAGTGTCTCTTTAATCACATTTTACTTAATTAATTTGATCAAGTATTATTTCTACTAATTTATTTATTTACTTATTTTGCAGAACCAAATTTTACTATGTGGATGTTAATAAAGTACCTCAGACTCTAGTCAAGCGTGGCAACGTCTCTGTAAGTATACACATAATATATCCATGAAATTTTCTGGTAAAATTTGTTGAATTTTTCTTTAAACTCTTTTTGACATTGTTTTTCTTGTTTCTTATGCATTTCAGAAAATGCCAACAATTCAGGTGTGTTTCCAATCAAATTAATCTTGATACATATATTATAATCCACAACTTAAAGAAAATGAAATGGTGTAGTTAAATTGTGTGCAGCTTTGGAAAGATGGAGAGATGAAAGAAGAAGTGATTGGAGGTCATAAGGCATGGCTAGTAATTGAAGAAGTAAGAGAAATGATTCAAAAGTATATATGATGTCTTCATTTCTTTTTCTTGATACTGATCCTTTCCTCCCCATAATACAAATAATCAATTCTTGTAATATTTTTATTGTGTGTGATTGTGTATCATATATAAAACAAAGAGCTTACTTACTTTCACTCTCTAAATTCTCACTATTATTCATATGTGTATATAATTATTTATATTCACTGCATTTCCAACAAGTCGCTTTGGCCGAGTGGTTAAGGCGTGTGCCTGCTAAGTACATGGGGTTTCCCCGCGAGAGTTCGAATCTCTCAGGCGACGAAAATATTTTTTACGCAGAGCAAAAATAGCTACGAAAGGACCCAAAGCCGGAATATTTTGAATCAAAAATCAGTATAAGAGAATTTCTCCTACCTTTATGTTTTCTAAAAACCTTTTGGATTTTATTTACTCCAAATTTAATTTTTGGAATTCAAATATTTGGACAGTAATTGTCTGAAATTTATAATCCTGACGTGCTAATTTTTTGTTTTATGGAAGTAATTTTGAATTACAATTTGAATTTTGCAACTCTTGTACACTGTGAATAAAAGAACGACATAGCATAGCAATTATTATTATTATTAAAATTTAAGTGTATTTTTTTAAATGTGATTTATATATTTTATTTCAATAAAAATATGATATATGTATAATTTTCTGTTACATATATGTAATTTCTTTTTATTTTTACTCCTTAAAATATATTTAGATATATTTGTCATATTTTTATCGGAAAAAATATGAATTAAACCTATAGAATTATATCTAATTATTATTATTATTATTATTATTATTATTATTATTATTATTATTATTATTATTATTATTATTATTATTATTATTTAATAATTTAAAAATCAAAGTTATAAGAATATAAATAAAATATGATCGATTCAAACTCACTCTTATAATTAAATGTTCCTGTGCACAAGTATTAAATTAATAGGTGAGACCAAGGTTACTCTTTGAAAAATTGGGGATAATTTATCCCTAATGATTTATATTAATAAAATTTTGTGACATAAAATAAAAGGTTAATAGCTATTTTGCTCCCTGTCATATAGGCGGGTTTTGAAAAATCTCTGTAAAAAAAGTTTCAAAAATTTCTCTGTCATATGAAGATTCTCTCGTTTTGTCCCTCAAAAAATTTACGCATCAATAATCTATTAAATTTCATGTAATTTGCCCTCTATTTTTAAGAATTTATACATATTTTGCTCTTGCCAAATTGGCGATTTTTGAAAAATCCCTCTGCCATGTTAGTATTTTGTATGCTTCAATTTTTTGAGGGGGCAAAACAGATTAATCTTCATATAGCAGGGGGATTTTTGAAACTTTTTTTACAAGGGGATTTTTCAAAACTCGCCTATATGATAGGGGCAAAATAACATATTAACCCTAAAATAAATTTGTAAAATCACATATTAATCTAAAACCTTAAGACATTAGGTTTATGCCTCTTTTCACTTCAAAACTGTTCAACATTCTCTTTTGCATCCAATATCGAAATCATTACTCACACTTGATTTACAAACATCTTACTACTCAAAAATTAAGTCATATATTTTTTCTTGATTTAATTTTAATTCTTTAAAGTTTTTTTAAAATTTTAATTTGTGTGAAAATTTTTCATTTGTATACATCATTTGAGGTAAATTATCCCCAGTTTTTTAAGAGGTGGCCAATAAATTACCCTATTAATAAGGTTGACTTAAAGAAACATAGTAATTATTATTTAAGCACAGTAACATAATTCATATAAGTTGTATGAAATTGAAGACTAAAATTGATGGATCAGACCAATAACATTATCTTAATATCTTAATATGAGGTGTTTTTTTAAGCAGATTGCTTATTGCATTTTTAGTGGTGTTCCCACAATTTGATGAAAAATTAATAATGTCTTTTATAATTTAAAAATATATTTTCAGACGCACTAAAAATGTACAAACCACATCCAAGTCTTAGAAATAGACTAAAATGAAGTTGAACAAATACGAAGTTGTTACAAAATCATATCTCCGGAATATTCTTTGTTTTTTCAAACCATAAAACAAATTCATAAATAGGAAGAACAACATAAATTAACATCAATCTAACATTACATTTCAACATCAACTGATGGTTTATGACAATTGAACATCTTTAGAATATCTTCGATCGATCTTTTAATCATCGCATCCACCTCGATCAACTTTTTATTTCGTAACGGTGAAATGTAATACTCTGTATAACAATTAAATCGTCATGTGTCTTCAGCTTAAACTTGTTAAATTGTATCTTTCCTTTGTTGTCAATTGTTGGTGAATAATAACAAAGCTTCACAACTCTTTAATTGTTTAGGTATCACAACAAATTCTCTAGTGTGGATTTCAGATTAACAAGACAAATAACCTCTATGAACCTAAATTCAAGAGGGAGCCCCTAGACAAATGCGAGATATGAATATTGAAACATTCTTTGGTGATTTTTCTAATAACATGAGGATCCCAAAGGATATTCCAGAGATGTACTTTCAAATTAACCTTGTTTCGTTTAGTAAATCACGTAAAAAAGGGTTTCTATGGAATTGCAGATTCCAAGAATCCACTGTATTGTACTCCAAAATTTGCCCTCTCATTTCTCAAGAAATCTCTCATAAAGATCTCCATTGATTCAAGACTACACAAGGTTTGATCAGCTCAAGACACCTCTTTAAACACTGACAACTCAAAATCAGGGTTTGAGTTTTCACAAGGACAATTGGACTTTCAAGGCCTCAAATGACTTTCATGGATCATTAGGAACCCTCAAGATTGCCCATGTCAAGTTTCAAGTTTTGGATCACAAAATTGCCCAGTCATTTGACCAGATGACCTAAAATCAGTTATATTGGATAAAAAGTCAATTATGGTCAATTTGCAGTCAAACTTCATAATTTTTTATCCATATCAACATTATGAACTCATATATATCAATTGATCAAGTTTGGATCACAATTCCTCAAAGAAATTTGATCAGAACACCAAAAGGGCAAAATGGTCAAAAATAGGGTTTTGATTGAGAAGGCTCAGTTCTTGACTTTTTGACCAAGGAAATGACTTATTGGTTTAAGACATGATCTCAAGGATTCAAATATTGACCTAATTGCATAGTTCAAATCACCTCTCAAGATCATTGGATTGACAGATGGATTTCAGTCAACTGATGAAAAGTCAATTGTACACTGAAAAGTCAAACTTTGACTTTTTGATCAAAATCAAGTTTCAAAAATCATATTTCATCAAGACATGTCAAAATATGAAGTTTTTTCATCAAGAAATCAAAGAGTCAAAATTCATTTTTGAAAAGTCAAAATTGCCAAGACTTATAATTTTTTCGAAGTGTTAGAAAGTTAACATTTTTCATAACTTTGTGCCAAATTTCCACCATGATGCAAGATGATTCAAGGAAAATTTCCAACATTAAAGTTGTAGATCTCAATGAGATCTAAAACATTTTAGGGAAGAACTTTTTATAGAAATTCTTGGATTGCAAGTTATGAATTTATGAAGACATGTCCGTGAAACTAAAATACTTAGTGAAATTTTGGTTATTTTAGTCAGGATTTTGACCTAACTTCATGGTAATTTTTCACCTAGTTCCAAATTGAATATTAAAAAATTTCCAACATAAAGGTTGTATAGGATGTTACAAGCTTTCCAAAATGTCCAAGAACTCATCAAGACCATACTTGAGCTAAGAGAATCGAAGGCAAGAAGTTAGGGTTTCAAACTTGTTTTGCATGACATATTTTGTGATGAACATGAACCAAATCCATAGCCATGCTGCATAATCCTAACTTTTCTGGCATCATACTTGTTTTTCACTCCATAATTAATGGTTTACACAACTGATTATACCCTTATCCAAGTGTTTCAAGCTTTGTCCAAACCAATTTGCCATTTTGGGGAGAAAGTAACATATCCATTCTTGTAAAGCAAGCTTTATGCACAAAGTCAGCTTCTTGAGCTTCTAACTTGTTTTCTTTGAGTACACTCCATCCACAAAGTCAGAGGTATTGTGTTTAAAGTGGTTAACAACTCTATGAACCAAGTACAAGGCATGGAAACTTGTTTTGTCAAAAAATCACATGTTGAGCTTAAACATGTAAATTCAAATTATGAGTTGTTTCAAGTCTCAAAACCTTTTGCCTATAAGTAAATACATTATTTGCAAGCTAACACACGAGCTCAAACACTCCCAAGCACTCTGCAACTCAAAATCAGCCACAACTTGACAGTTATGAGTTTCACATAGCCATCTCCAAATCCACTCGTGCGTATTAAGTTTTAATCATACAAATACTTTACATAATTCATATGCAAGTGATCCAAGGCCTTGTTTTCTGACTGTAATCTCTCCATCATCATCCACCATTTTCAAAACTGAAGCTTACAACTTGACTTGAGTTGGGAGTTTCAGCCATCCTCAAAGAAAAGTAGGAGTTGGAACATACTCAAGGAGGTCCAGGCAAGCTAAAGAGATCATCAGGCCATCTCAAATTTTGCTCAAACTCACGCACGAATCCATCTACAAGAGGTAAGTTTTCAAACTTCAATATCTTGATACAAACATTTTTTGTGCATACATTATGAAGTAAAAGTGTAGATATCATTTCCCTGAAGCTGTACATATCCATAGTTTTCATTTATATTGCCCGAGCTTAGAGAATTTTAAGTTTGAATCTCTGAAAAAAGTTAGGTCAGAATTTGGTACTTTTAAAAATACATGCTCATCTTTGATTGTTAATCCAAATTGTTTATATTTCTGAAATCCGTGTAAAATTTCTAACAAGTTTGATGTTGGAAGTTTTGAGAATGGATGAGAAATGAATGAGACACATGGACCCTGGCTGGAGGTTGAAGATGAAGTTCATTTCTAGGAATAGATTTGTAATATATATTTATGATTTTGTTTAAGTTAACTGATGTATAGCCATCCCAGTGGTAAGGCAGCGCGCGTTTATGTTCAAGGGCGTGGGTTCA